GAATAGTTGAGGAGGATGGGAAAGCAGCTCTGGGGCACACGGCCAGAGAAGAATTAGGTGGGAAGAAAGTGCTGGAGGTCTCTGTCCACCCCTCACTCCAAACAGCTCTATGCTTGTGGCCATGTCATGTCAGATGGGGCCTCGTCCAGGCAAGTGTTAACCATCTCCACAGATGGAGGCAGCACCTTTTCTGTCTCAGGTTTTGCTTTTCTCTCTGCAGAATGTCTCCTGGGTTGCAGGAGTTTATCTCAACAACATCCTTGATGTAAAAGCTGTATCACTTCTGTTGGCAATGAAACAAAATCTTCAGAAATTATTCACGGAAGGACTACTGTCCTCCTTTCCTGCAATTATTGGGCATTGACTAGCAAAAGGAGCATGCCCAGAAATGTGACTCAGATATCTGATTGCTAAGGTTGGGGTGTTGCAGGACAAGAATGATCCTCAAGCCAGAAGATAGCTTAAAATACTTAAGGGACCAATGCACATCCTGCTTTTACTGTTCTCTTCCTTAGCATCTGCAAATCACAGTTTAGGATTCTCAACTTCTGGTCTCTGCCCTGTCTCTGGCTGATGAGAATTTTCTTTTGGTCTCTCCTCATAGATTTGTAAAACCCAGGAGTCCAAAGTGGCTGCTTCATATTGCAGCCCTGCAGTACCAGTCCACTTCAACATCCAGCAGGACTGTGGGCATTTTGTGGCCTCCGTCCCCTCCAGCATGCTGCTGGCCTCAGATGTGGGGAAAGGCATGGCCGGGGATGGCCTCCATCCCTCCCGCACTGCCAGTGAGCACGACTGTGTGGTGGTCATTACCCGTGAGGTGCCAAGCCAGACCACTGCCGACTTCGTGAGGGACTCTGTGATGTTGCACCAAGCCAAGCCCGAGCTGTATGAACGTCGCGTTTGCTTCTTGCTCCTCCAACTCTGCAATGGCCTGGAGCATCTCAAAGAGCACGGCATCATCCATCGTGACCTGTGCTTGGAGAACCTCCTACTTGTTCCCTGCAAGCCCCCTATGAGCTGTGTGAAAGCCAAAGATGACAAACACTTACCCCGCCTCATCATCAGCAATTTTTTGAAAGCTAAGCAGAGGACTGGAACGGGAGACTCCAAGCTGAAGAAGAGCCAGGCCCGGCTGGCCCCAGAGATTGTGTCAGCTTCTCAGTACAAGAAGTTTGATGAGTTTCAGACTGGTATTCTCATCTATGAACTGCTGCACCAGCCCAACCCCTTTGAGGAGAAGGTGCACCTCAGGGAGCAGGAGTACAGCCCTGAGGACCTCCCTGCTCTACCCAGCCTGTCCATCTACTCCCGGGGACTGCAGCAGGTGGCCCACCTGCTGCTGCAAGCAGATCCTATCAAACGTGTGCGGATCACCGAGGCCAAGCGGATGCTGCAGTGTCTGCTTTGGGGACCCCGAAAAGACCTCATGGAGCAGCCCCTGAGCCATGAGGAAGCTCTGCGCCAGGTGCTGCAGAACTGGGTGGACATGAAGCGTGCCCTGCTCATGATGAAGTTTGCAGAGAGGGCTGTGGACACCGAACGGAGCATTGAACTGGAGGATTGGCTGTGCTGCCAGTACTTAGCGTCTGCTGAGCCGACATCCCTCTTACACACATTAAAACTGCTGCAGCTGCTCTGACCTTGGATGTGTCTCAGAGGCAGCTGAGGGTTCCTGGTTGCCTTGTGGCTAAAGGTGCACAGCCCTTCTATGTGTGAGAGGTTTGAACCTCAGCTGTGAATGCACCTTCAGGTCCTGCCTCACACTCCAGTCAGAGTGCACAAGACCCATTTAGTATCCTCAGCACTGTTAATTTGTGAGCAGGCAAAGCAGGCAACCTATCCCTATTTCAGGGGATTTTTTTTTTTTTGGTGTGGTAACTGTGGACTAATAAACTCCTGCCTCTGTGTGTGCATGTTTCTAATGAACTCAGTGTGCTTGAGTTGATTTCTGCACCTATGGAACAGTCCTCTTGTCCCCACTTCTCCCAAAGCATCAGGGCCTTTTTGCCCTGGAATACCACCACCGTGCTCCGTAATCGTGAATGGTTGACTGCTTCTCCTGGGGAGCAAGGGCAGTTTACATAATGCTCCTTTGCAAGGGAGAATCAGGAAGGGTTTTCAAATTCACATCTTTTTTGGGTTTTGGCATCTGTTTTGCGTCTTGCTTTAAACCCAAAAATTGCCACTTGTTTCTCTGCATTTTTCACTGTGAGCAATTCAGTATCAGCTGCCTGTTACCTTTGTTGGATAATCATATAGCATGGCTTTCCTGTCTAGTGCTGCAGCCATGCAGGCTGTTGGATTTGAAAGGCTGAGAGAGAGCCCAGGATGGGTCTGTTCATGAGGATGATGCTGCATGCTGGGAATTACCCCTTGTAAAGCTAATGAAATGGAAAATCCCCAATTCACCTCCAAGGCCTTGGGGGGAAAAGTCAGGGCCAGGTTACTTCGCTTTTGCCATCCCTCCAGCTCTCTCCCTTCACCTGGCAATTCACCTGTCCCTTGTTTCTCACATTTTTTTAACCCCTTTATTGAGAAATGAGCTGTGAAAGGCTGGGGGCACAGTCCTGTGGGCTGGGAGGGTCTTACTGTTGCTGGTGTTTGAATTAGAAATGCATAGGGCTGGGTGCACTGCAAAGATGTGATGCAGGAGCACAGTCAAAGAGGGAGAAACTGCCCTGGCTCACTTCACCCCCTTTCCCTCTGTCCAGATACAGAGCAGACACTCAGCTTGGTAGAGAAGCTGTGCTGCTCAGAAAAAAAAAAAAAAGATCTTCCAAAGGGTCGTGGGCTTCTTCTACTCTTTCACCTCAACATGAGGCAAAGATGAGCTGCCCTGCTCCTAGCACCAGTTCTGCAGCTTTTGGAAAAAGGGTAGGTTTGGGACACATAGAGTGAGCCTGGCATCAGCTTAGCTAAGACAGGATTTCACTAAGTGAGCTACCCCCTTCCCAGCTCAGACAGGGAGAAATTCATGAGTGCTTTCCTCCAGCCTTGATTCACCTCCAGACCCAGCCTCCTCTTTGGGGGAATTTTAATTCCTCAAGTTTTTTTGACACTTCATACACTTTCTGTGAATCTTTTCCAGGCTTCTCACCTGGATTTCTTTTTTTTAAATCTGTTTGGCTATGGTTTCTGTTGATGGGAGGAGATGGTTCCTTGGCTGGGCACCCATTTGCAATGAATTTCCCCTGACCCCCTTAGGGCGGAGGCTGTGCATGTTCCTGCCTGCTGGAAGAATGTGGGATGGCTCCAACTGTGGCCGCCAGGGATTTTTTTTATACACTGGCTTTCCTGTGTCTGACTCTTGGGTCCACTTCCCTCCCATATAGGTTGGCAAGAGCCTTATGGCTTTGGAATTACTGTCCCAGGGACCATCCTGGACACATCACCCTGGAAAGTCTGTCTCTGACTTGCTACATGTGGTCTCACATGGACCAGCAGAGTGATGAAAGAGCCGGAGAACCTGTCTGAAGGAGCCCAGCATGTTTTTCTGAGATAAGATGAGAGATGACTCAGTTTCTAAGCATGGATGGAGGAAAGAGGTTGGCAGCAGCTCTGCAGGACAGCACTGAAGGAGACAGGGCCTGGCCATGATAAATTCAAGCCGCGCTGGCAATGGGGAGATAATATGCAAGGCAAGTGCCTTGCAAAGCTTGGGTTGGGTACTCAGCAGGACTCAAGATGTAGCCAAACATCCAACCAGCCCACATAAACCGAGTTTGGATCTATTTTCCAAGCTGAATTTCAATTTAACGACAAACACTGTTAGAGGTATTGGCACAGGGCCTGAATGATGTGGGGTGTTAACCTGATCAAAACTCTGTCCCTTGAGTTTGGTCACTTGAGACTGGTTCTGGTGTTGGTCCTGGTACCCTGTAGCAGTATTCCCAGCAGACCAGAGGCCAACAACAGTCCTGTAGCTTTTTCAGCTATATTATTTTAAGTTGTGTGAGTGGCTTCTTGCTCTCATATAAACAGAAATTCCTGGCTCCAGGCTTTCCTGATACTTTCCCCTATGGTAGCTCATGCTTCTTCTCCAGCCTAAACAGTCCCTAGGTTTTGGGTCCTAAGGTCAGTGCTTGAACTGGAGAAGTGCATTAGGGTTTCTGCTGTGTAGCTGTTGTGGGGAAAGTGACACCTAAGTCTCAGCTGAATGCCGCAGCTGAGTTTGAGGACTTTGCTGGCTCATCCCCACCTTGCCTGTGTGGTCCTCACCATGCCATGGGCAGCAGCTCCCCTTTTTCTAGCAGGCATTCTTGTCCCTGTGCCCAGGAACCTCTGCAGGAATGGTGGAGGGGATGGATCATTCCTCTTTCCCATGTGGCAGAGAACATAGCTGACCCTGCACCCTGGGGGCCAAGCATGTCACCCACTCAGGGGGAGTGGGGATTGCAGGAGATGTCTAATTGGGAACACAGTTTGGGGTCCACATGCCATAGGGATAGTGCTGAGAAGCAATTGCTGGGCAAGCACCACAAACCCATGCATCTCAGTGATACTGCTGGGTGAAGAGAGGGGCGTTTCTTGTCTTGTGCTGCCCCCAAGCAGCCTCCTAGCCTCCTTCTGAGTGCCCAGGTTCCCAGCAGTCCATGCAAACAAGAAAGGTGGCAAGACAGCTCTCTGCCAGTGCCTGCTATCCCCCTGGAGGACAGATTCCCAGGAGCTGGGCACAGTTGCTGACTGGTGCATTTGTAGCACAGGTGAGTTTGGTGAGGAGGTTCTGTGCTTCCTACATGAGATGAGGCCAACACCCAAAGCCCCAGGATAAGCACTGGGCAGTGCTGCTAGAAGCCTTCTTACCCAGTGGTCTGGTGACCCTGCCTCCCTGCTTCAGAGCATCCCTCAAAGCTGGGGGATATCCCAGGAGTAAAAGCCAACCTAGTTTTCCAGAGATGTGTTATAGGTGATTGCTTTGCAAACAGCACTTCTCACCCTGGATGCTTACATGTGCAGGAACATAACCCACTGGCCCCACAAGTTACCTCAGGACAGGCTCAATTCCACTTTGGCTTCTTGGCAAGCAGCAGCAGCAGCAGCAGTGCGAGGCCGTAAGAGAGGGGAAGGATGCTGCTGCAGGAAGTCCAGAGCAGACAGAGCGTGGAGAAGCTCTCGGTCTCCACAGCCACCAGGATGTAGGCAGCGATGAGCTGTGTGAAGACCCAGGTTGTGCCACGGTAGAGGAGCTTCGTCCCCCGGGAGGTGGCCCAGGCGCCGAGGAAGGCGTGGATGCGGTAGTCAGCCTGAACCATGACGGCCCAGCACAGGAAACCAAACACCTGCCCAGGCCGGAGCCCATGCCACCAGGCAGAGAAGGCAAAGGTGGCTAGGAGCGGCCGAACGGGGCAGCGCTGGAAGATCAGTCTCCTCAGCCAGCGGGATGTGCTCTTGTTCCAGGTTCGGGTGAAGACGGCGAGGCGGTGCGTGGTCTCCAGTGTCCACAGGTCATGGATGGAAAGGTCTCCCTGCCCTGCCTCCGGCCCAAAGCCCGACAGCTCTAGCAGCGCCTCGTCCAGCACCCAGTGCAGATAG